GGGAACAACACACATCCTTGGGCCTCATGACTGTGTCCTGGAAGCAGCCACCATTTTCAGTCGGCCCTGGATTCATCCCTGGATCATGCAGTGGACTTGGGGAAGCAGCTGCCATTTTGCCACACTGTCCACACTGATAACACAGAAGAGGGACAAACCTCTCTATTTTGCTACCATAACATGAGGAAAAAATATCCAATAGAAAGTCTCATTTTTCAAAATGTATTATGTTAGAATTATCAGAAGCATTGAACATGTAAAAAATGGGTATTGTCAGTGTTGCTATGAGCATTAAGGCAAGACAAGATGCTCAGAGTTGCCTCAAACTGTGAGATGGGCATCGATTAATTTTAATAATAAAGGAATTTAATAATAAGATAATGTAAAGCTCATTTCCCAACTCTCTGTCAGTGATGAAGACTTCACACATACAATGGGTTTCTAACACACTACAATTGTTAATTTGTAATCTCTTTTTTTGCAACAGCCCGAAAAAGGCCTGAAAAACGGCTTGAAAATGGCCCCTAAAATGGCCAAACAACAGTCTGAAAAAATGGGTGGGGGCAGGGACAGCCAGTGTTGGGATTAGACCCAACCAGCTGAATCTTACCTCTGCCTTTGAGGCTAGTGACCAGGAAGCAGGGCTGGGTGTGATGAGTGATGTCACCCCACCCAACCGGACATGCCTCCCCAACCACTGTCTTAGATCATTAAGAATTTAAACATTTCTAAAGAATTAAAATAAGTAAACTGTTTTTTAAATGTTTAGTTGAAAAGAGAAATTGAAAAGCAAATTTTATTTTAAAAAAAATGGAAAAGGATTTAAAAGTTGAAAAAGATTTAAAAATTGAAAAAAATAAATTAAAATGATATTTAAGGGTTGAAAAAAAGAAGAGTTAAAATTGGAACAAGGAATTGAAAAATAGAAAAAAAGAAATTTTAAAAATTGAAAAGGATTTTTTCTTAAATAATATTGGAATATTCTTTAATATTGAATTCTAGCATGACATGGTCACTCTTGCCAAAGGTTCTGGCAACTTCAACTCCTTCTATCATTTCTTCTCTACTAGTAATAATTAGGTCCAGTATAGTTTTTCCTCTAGTTCCCTCCTCTAGTTTTAGGATGACAAAGTTGTCAGTTAAGTTGGTTAGGAATCTGTTTGATCTCAAATTTTATGAGTTTGCTTGCAAGCAAATTTTATGTGACAGACTCAGCTAGCTGACGGCAGAAAGATAGATGAATGAAACTGTGATTTTGTGAGCAACTCAATCTGCCTGCCTACTTTGCAGGGGTGGGATTCCACTGATTGTATCCGGTTCTATAGAACCCCTTGTTAACTTTCTAAGTAGTTCAGAAAACCGGTAGTTAGAAGCAATCTCCATTTGTTTTTTTCCATCCTTATTGCATTCTTGGCAGACAGCCTAGACTTCCTGTCTCTGGAGCTTCTGAGGCTTTCTTAAAGGGGAAGGGTTATTTTAAGATTTTTACATGCTGTTGGGAGGAAATACTTCCCTGGACAATCAGCACTTTGAAGAAATAATTGAATAATGAAGCAAAGCTTTTAGTGACAGGGAACCAAGATGAGTGACATTCAACAAGGCTTCTTGGCTAGCTAGAAAGATTAACATTCAAACATGAGTTTACATACTCTTTCTGAGTTTTGGTCTAAAACTGATTTTTGGTGAAGGTTAATTCTGTGCTTGGTGAAATTTAATCCTGTGTTTATTGATAGGATAATTTTCCCGATTCAGCTTCAACACGCAACAGTTACTGTTGTGATTTAATTATTTGTATTGTGTTTCAAAAAAAATTGCCTCATGGTTTCTTTTTCTATTTGGGGAGGGTTTTTTTCCTTCACTACTTTAATACTATCGGGCACTGTCCTTTTGGGGTATACTTCTAAGAGGCAGGATGCAAACTTTGCACTGGGTTTTTTTTACTGCCTTTCTGGGGGGCATGTGACCTTTCCTTAAATCTGGGTGATTTCCATAGGATATCTTGTGAAGTAGGTGAGACCAGATGGTATTTTTAAGTGTTCAAATGGATCTAAGGATTGCTTCTGCTGGGTGTGCTCTTTCTGGAGAGCTTAAATGACCTCTCTGCTAAAGGGTTTCACTTTATGAGGAAGAGATGGCTGCTTGATAGTTATCACTGCATTTTAAATATTTTCATTCCTCAAGATGCTCTGGAACTCTGCCTGATTTGTAACTCCGACTTGCAGGTATTTTTAATCTAATGATTGGCATTTAGGCAGCTTTTTGCAAGCACAGAAGCTTTTTGTATTTTTGTACAGGTAATCCTTGACTTACAACAATTCATTTAGTGACCATACAAAGTTACAATGGCACTGAAAAAAGTAACTTATGACCATTTTTCACACTTAAGACCACTGCAGCATCCACACTGTCATGAGAGGTCAGGTGAGGAGAAGCACCCCTTCTGCCCAGCCCTCTGCAGCCCTCCCCATAGCTCCTCGTAGCTGCCTGGGCCTCGCCCTGCCCTCTCCAGGGCTCCTCATGCGTTGGAAACTGGCAAAAAACACTTGCTAAGCAACTTGCCATTAAGTGAGGACCTGGTCATTAAGTGAGGACCTGGTCATTAAGTGAGGACCACTTGCATTTGGTTTGCCAGTCACCTGGCCACCTCTCCAGGACTCCCCAGACCTTGGAAACTGTTAAAAAACACTTGCTAAGCAACTGGCCATTAAGTGAGGACCTGGTCATTAAGTGAGGATCACTTATATTTGGTTTGTCAGTCATATGGCCACCTGCCGGGGCCTCGACCTGCCCTCTCCAGTGCTCCCCAGGCCTTGGAAACTGGCAAAAAAACCATTGCTAAGCAACTGGTCATTAAGCGAGGACCACTTGCATTTGGTTTGCCACTCACATGGCCACCTGCCCATGCACACCCCAGTCACATGACCACCTAGTCATGCCCACCCCAGCCACATGTCCACCAAGCCACACCCACAAATTAAGCCACACCCACAGAACCGGTTGTTAAGAAATTTGAATCCCACCCCTGCTACTTTGCCTGATTTTGGGTAAAAGTTGCTTTTTTAGAAAAAATTCAATATTTATATAAATATTTATAATATTTACCTACAAGGCATGCCCAGCCAGTCACATGACCACCAAGCCACACCCATAAATTAGGCTATACCCACAGGTCTCCGGGATTTAAAATTATGAGTTTAGTGGTCCCTGAGGTCCAAAGGGTTGGCGACCCCTGTCCCAGTTGATACCAGAGTAGTTCAAATCTCCCATTACATCTTGATGTTGCCTTCTTGATATAGTTTGTAATCCACGCATGTATTGAAAATGACAGGTGGATACAATTTACAAGTATTTTTACTTCCATGTTGTTGAGGTAATTCCCCATTAGGAGAATGAGCGCATACAGGGAGACGTATTGAGAGAAGTGTTGAATAATACACACACAGCACACAGATACACTGTACAGTTAATGTAGGTTTTTACTTTCAATAAACATTTAAGCACAGTCCAAACACAGTCCAAGTCAATGTACTGGTAAATCAGTAAGTGTTCAGTCCAGGGATAATTCCAATATCAAAGTCCAGTATCAAAAACAGTTCAGTAACAGACTTACATCAAATCCAAAAATAACAGTCAATAGGGAAAAATGGAGGAACGGCAAAACTCTCTCCAGCAGAAGGAAACAGACTCACTCACACTCTCTTCTGAGACTTTCTCACTCCTACCAACCCAGGTTTCTGGCTCCATCTTATGGCCGTTTGAGAAACCACACCCAATTACAGTTTTTGCATTTTCTTAAAGATACAGTATTAAAATGTCTATCCTAGTTTATATATTTCCAACCCAAATAACTGTTAGGTGACTTACATTCCTAACACATGTCTTGCCAATAAGTATGGTATTTCTTGTCCCATCCATGTATTAACCGGGTTCGATTGTGCTTAATCTAGCACTTTCTAAAAAATAGCTCTTGAGGACCTTTAGGCACCGTTGGTTGCACAGGTAGTTCTCACTACCACTTCTTCCCTGAGCCTTCAAAGTTACTGTGGCACAGTAGAAGCAGACGTGCATCTGATCCCCAAAATTTGTGGTGATCCTAGCAGTTGTTCAGTGACCGCTTGTCAGCAGTGACTGTGATTTTGAAGGTGCAGGAAAAGAAGTTGCACCAATTTGCGTTCTTCCCATAGTTGCACATTTATGATGGCCGCATCATCCCACACTGATGATCCCCATTTGTGACCTCAACTAGCTTCTCACAAGCAAAATCATTGGGTAGGAAATTGTAAGTCCACAGTCATATGGAATTGCCTTTAACAACCTACAGTGATTTGCTTAACAAATACAGAGGAACAGATGCAACTTGGCACTGTCATGTGACATCGTACTTAATGATTGAGCTGCTTAATGATGCAGATATCAGTTCCAATTATGGTAAATTAAGTGAGGACTACTTGAGTGGGGATGTCACCAGAGTACTTGTGGACAGTGTTTTCTGCTCTTATTTGCATCTGAGGACTTCCATGGACAAAAGCGATGCTTCAAATCTTGCAGAAGCTTTCGGCATCATTTCATCAGTTAAAGCCCCCACATGTCTAAGTTTAGCTCAGAAGGTTTGAATGTAAACATTCTGGGACATTTTATCAGACTTGGAAGACATAGATTTTCACATGAATACACGTGTAGGTGGTGGGTATATCTGTATTACTCTCTGTAGGGATATGCCTGCAATTATATAATTTATCCCCAGCACTTCAAGTTATAATTGATGATAGTCCTTTGTGTTGCTAAGAATTTGTGATTGATCCAATTAAACAACTGAATTTGATTGAATGCATATTTGAACATGGATCTCAGTAGTCTTCCATGTGTCAAATGTTAAATAATATAAGTGAGAGATTATTCTACTATTGGAGCATGTTTGCTTTTTCATTGTAATATTTCTTTTTTCACATCATCTCTTATCATTTTATAAACAATGTTACACTTTTCTTTGAATCTTACAGACAAAGAAGATGGCAATAAGAGCTACTCAGGACAGCTGCAAATAACAAGCAACATTGAAAAGGGAAGTAAATCAAGCCAGAAATCAAAATATTTCCCATTTCATTCAGAAAACCACACAATTCTCGTGCTCTTCATGGAGAAGTTGTTAGACAAAAGATGGAAAATTAAAAAAGATTTCAAGCCAAAATAAGCAGATTATGCACAACTCAAGGATATATTACATGAAAAGTCAAGGGAGATTATTTTTTATTCAACAAAGGGAAATACCTGGAAATCAGTTGGAGGAAAAGGTCAATAGTAAAAGCCATGTGGAGCAGACAGTAATATAGGACTCCCCCTATGAAGAAGAAAATGGCTTGAATGAAAGTACCGCTAAACAAGGCATGGTCACAATTCCAGTCTGATAATACATCAGTGGATTCACTGCAGGAGAAACTTTATGACTCTCAAGATTGTGGGAAAGGTTTTATTACAAATTTCCACCTCTTGAGACACAAGGACACACACACACAGGAGAGAAACCCTTTGAATGTGCTATCCGTGTGGAAAGTTTCAATCAGAATTCTAATATGATGATATGCCAGAGGCCTCACACAGGAGAGAAACTCTTCAAATGTCCTGACTGTGGGAAAAGTTTTAGACAGAATTCCCACCTGGTGATACACCAGAGGATTCATACAGGAGAGAAGCCCTTTGAATGTCCTATTTGTGGGAAAAGTTTCAGTAATAATTCCAACCTTGTCAGTCACCAGAGAACTCACACAGGGGAGAAACCCTTTGAATGTCCTGACTGTGGGAAAAGTTTTGTTAAGAATTCCCACCTGCTGACACACCGGAGGACTCATACAGGAGAGAAACCCTTTGAATGTCCTATTTGTGGGAAAAGTTTTAGTGAGAATTCCAGCCTGGTAAGACACCAGTGGACTCATACAGGAGAGAAACTGTTTGAATGTCCTATTTGTGGGAAGAATTTTAGTGAGAATTCCAGCCTGATGAGTCACCAGAGAACTCACACAGGGGAGAAACCCTTTCAATGTCCTGACTGTGGGAAAAGTTTTAGTCGCAATTCCACACTGATTCTACACCAGAGGACTCATACAGGAGAGAAACCGTTTGAGTGTCCTGACTGTGGGAAATGTTACAGGCAGAATTCCCATCTGATGATACACCAGAGGACTCACACAAGAGAGAAACCCTTTGAATGTCGTATCTGTGGGAAAACTTTTGGTTATAATTCTAGCCTGGTTCGACACCAGAGTATTCACACAGGAGAGAAACCCTTTGAATGTCCTGACTGTGGGAAACGTTACAG